CTAATTCACAATTATTAAGGTTGATATTTCTTAAATTTTAATCATTGCAACAAAAATTTTAACTCAAAAATATTAAAAGTCATTATAAGTAGGAAATAATAGAAACGAAAAATCAACAAATTCAATACACATAAAATATGACATTAAAGTCGACTAGCACATTTGAATCTTACACATGTTAATTACGGACTGTATAATATTAGCGTGTTCACAGGATACGTTGGGCGTTGTGAAATAGCTGTTTCATAGTACCGGCTCTCGAGAAGTTTAGCGGCTTGTCCCCTTGTTACGCCACTGAAACATCCAAAAAATTTAGCTTAGTTTGAATATTTCTCATCTACTTAATTCACACACATAAATAAAAATTACAACGAAACAAATTATTAAAGTAAAAATTGCAAAACATTGTATAAAATATTTTATAAATTTCAATACCTATATAATTGTATTGCAAGATTTCTTGCAGTTCGGAGCTCTATTAAAGAGTTGTTATAAAAATTTAAAAAATTATAAAACCTACGATAGAATCCGCGTCGCAAATAATACAAAATAAAAGATAATGTTTCGATTGCCATTCCCTCGTATTTTAAATATGAATCTAATTGTTTAAACAATTCAAGAAGCTAAGCTATATAACCATGATTCCCTCCATGAAGGCGAGATGGTTCAAGATAGTTAGCCTCATAACGTACAAGAACAAACTAACATTAACTAGAGAATCAAGAAAATACGTTCCCGAAAACAGAAATGCGAAAAACTGATGAAAGTCCGAAGAAGTACCGTGAATGAATGCAGAAGTAATACAACACCACTGAATTTACGAAAAATTGTTATTAAAAAATTATGAAATTGTTATAAAAAATGAAAAAAAAGACACTGGCCGACTCTTATGTTCAAGAAACATAATCATATCCTTTAAACAAGATCAAAGAGTTAAATGAGAAACGCGAGAAAAGAAATCGCAATCGAATTAATTTGCATCACTTCACCGCCGAGAAATCAAGAAATTTCGAAATATGCAATTTACATATACCACGCTGCGAGCATAATAGATAATGAAAGACAATATTTCGGTTATTGATATCCGTAACATTCGCGGCATGACATGAGAATGGCTCTATGATACGAAAATTTGAAAATTCAACATTGCACTTACTTACAGCGTCTAGTCAAACTTTCTTATGCTCGAAGAAGACGAGATGACACTGAGTCGCTAGATCCATGTGATGGCAATAAACCATTCTAGCATCTTCTGAAAGCATAGAAAACAATTAGAACAATTAGAAACAATTAGAAACAAAACATTAGAAACATTAGAAAAATACAATTTTAACCATGAAAACGCGAGAAATGCACAAATATGATGGGAATAATCTCGAGGAAACACGAAAAAGTACACGATCCCTTCGATTTTACGAGAATACGGCATATGTAAAAAATAAATAATTTATTTAAAAAATTTTAAAAAATGAAAAAGTTTTTGCTCCAACGGTAAAGTATAAAGACATGATCGTTTTCTCAAAAGAAGATTAATCCGTCAAAAAACCCGAGAAAAGAAGCCGAGATAGGATTCCATGTGATTTGCAATCATCGCCGAGGTGACATTATAAAAATTGAAAAATATCAAAAAATAAAATAGGTTCTGCGCCGCGAATAATAAAAATAGAAAAACAATACTTCAATGATAACTTTTTGAAATACTTGCGGCAAGAAACTTACAATATTATGCAAAATATTAATTATTGAAGTGTTCACTTGCCTGTTGCTGCGTAGTGCTTGCCGGTCGGTAGAAGTCTACAATTATGGCGTCTATTTGTAGGACTGTAGGTACTACGTTATACAATTTGAGGAATTCGATGAAAACAAAGATAGGCAACATTGCTGTTACGTCAACTACTTGTCCGAAAATCTTCTGATAATTCTGAAAAATACATTTCTCGGAGGAAAAATGCGATTGAAATACGAAAATGGTGGAAAACATCGCCAGAAAACGCGAAAAAGCATAGTCCCTTTGATTTTATGAGAATATATTGAAATACACACCGTATATTAAGACTAATCTTGTCATCTGTATACATTCGAAAGTATGCGAAAGTTGTGTGTGTGTCGATACAATGAAAAACGCTATGTTATGTGCGTGTTTCGCTTCGTCCTTGTTTCGACAGCGATAGGTTTCTGCAGTCTAACAAATACGAAATATTCTCTTCTGTGTATAAAGTTTAATACCTTTTCTCTAACCAAAATCCAACAACATACGGCATATACGAATTATATAAATTATTTAAAATAATTAAAAAAATTAAAATTTCATTGTACCATAGTTAAGTAAAAAACGAAATGATTACTTTCATAAAAAGCGGGCATAAGAAATCAGCAGAAAATTCGAAAATCTAGTCGAGATTCGAAGCAATTTGGAACTACCGCTGAGACGCCGTATAAAAATTGGAAAACGTATCTTTTTCGTTGTAAAATCACCAGAATATTGGGAAATTGTCTAAATTTCTATTATTGACTCAAAAAAAAATAAAATAAAAAAATTGTTCACGATGGATAATTTACGCGAAAGTGTTTTACATTTACCATAGATGTAGATGTCATGAAATTAGTCTATAACTGTACTATTTTAAAAATCCACGGGGATTTAAAAAATCAAATATATGTACACGATGCGAATTTCGAAATGACATACATGTAACGCGATATGAAATTTGCATTATATGTACTGTGACGCGAGTCGTAAAACACGGACAGAGGCGACTTCGAAATTCTAAGGGGCACAAGACGCGATTTTCGGTAATTTCGCCAGGTGCCACGCGAAACGCAAAGATTTCTTCAGACTGGAACGGCCGCGATAAGGATCCAAGTCCAAGGAATAGCAGATGGTAGCCTAATAGATTACTCGAATCGAGCAAATTCTTAGAAATTGAGTGCCCATGTGGCTGAGTCCTTTATACGAGTGTCAGCGGTACAGTAACATGATACTTTACAAGAAAATCAGCATGGGTCTAAACTCATCCCTTTACATAAAAAGACGATGTTAGGAATAACATATAAAAATGATGTCACGACAACCGCCCCAACATCGTGGTACATACGGTTGGGTAGTGATTTTGCATACGAAAAGAAGACCAGAAGAAAGTGTAACATTCTCTTTTTAGCCTTCGTTTTCGAGAGAAATGAGTTGGATAATGCGTCAAGTTGGCACAGCTTGTAGTATGACGAGAGTAGAATTGATAAGTCACGGACAGACGCGTCACTTGATTCCTATTCAATAGTATTATTTGTTCAATCTAATTTTTCTGGAAAAAGGAACCTTAAATGAAAAATTGTCAATCCTTTCTTCACTTATTTTTGCATGTAGAATCGCTATCCGGCCTGTCGAACCACAATTTCAGGGATTATATTGTTGCGAATTACTGCATTTTTCTCGCGTCGCGGCACATTTTATTTACAATAAAGAATATTAACTATAACACAATTCGATATAATTATATCTTAGATCTTTCAGAAGTGGGATGTTGATCGTTCGACGGTCCGATCTCGACTCTTCGATTGTCCGTTGGTAACATTCTTCCGTGGTAATCCCTATCTTCGATTATTCTTTAAGGAGTTGTTCACAACAGGGCAGTTTCACATTACAGCGACTTGATTTGGACAAGTCGCCGTAACACTGCCCTCCCCGCCGAATGAGCGGCCGTCCCGGCCGCGGCAAATTTCACTTCTGTTGACCAACAACAATCGAACCGTTAATCCTGCCAGCTTCAGTCCTATAAACTCGAACTATCGTACCATCGGACAACTGACAGGTAACCTCCATCGCAAGTACTTCTGTCTGAAAAGTAGGTAAACAAGGAAAGAATGTAATTAATTACCCAGGTGGCCTTTTCCAGACAGTTTACGTCCTGACATTTGTCCTCCGTCTCAAGGGAAAACCACCAACAAAACCTTGAGCAGAACGTCAGTACTTCTACGACGCGTACAGCTCTAATCTCTGTCGCTCACCCTTCTTGTAGACTTCTCGTAGACACTTGTAGACTACTCGGGAGTTTCCTACTCTGATCAATCGCCAAAACTCTTCCCCGGATGCACCTCCAATCACCACAGGATACTACCTGCAGTAATATGGGATCCGGTGCATCTCTTTTTGTGGACCAGTCAGGAAAGGGTGTACCCTCCTGAAAACACGTCCTCACTCCCCAATGGGAGGATGTAATCTACCAGAGGATACAACTTCCTTCCCACATCGAACCGTTCCTTCCACAAATCGAAAGAACTCAGCGTGCCAGTACACAGATTACTCCCTCGTCTTCTGCGAAGAAAAGTCCTATTCTTGGGTGAGAGACAGTCAAAGGTTTCTGTGTACAGCGTCGTAGCGAGTCAAGCGGTTAACATGTACGATCTTCGGTTTCGACTTCGGAGAACGAGTTACACGATAGATAATGTCATTCAGGTGGTCCTGCACCACATAAGGACATTCCCAAGCGGACTGCAACTTGGGACATTTTCCTTTCGTCCTTCGTGGTTGGAACAGCCATACTTTCTCGCCTGTAGCAAACGTAATTAAATTAGTCTCCGCTAATAACCAAGATTTCATTTTGTCTCCGCTAATTCTCAGTCTCTGGCGAATAAATTCATGAATTTTAGCCAGTCTGATACGCGTTTGCTGAACAAACTCGTCCTCCTCATATCTTGATTCAGGCGGGAGTCCTCTCTGAAGATCCATTGGAAGTCGAAGCTCTCTACCAGTGAGAATCATCGATGGAGTGTTCTTCATTGTCTCGTGTCTGCTTGAGCGATAGGATAGTAAAAATAACGGTATCCAATCGTCCCAATCCCGTTGATGATCCGCTACAAACATTGACAAATACTGCAGCAGAGTCCGAATCAACCTCTCCACGAGCCCATCAGATTGTGGATGCAAAGGAGTAGTGCGAGTCTTCTTAATACCAAGCAGCACCATCAACCGCTTGAAGACCGCCGACTCAAAATTTCACCTCTGATCTGAATGAAGTTCCAACGGTTCGCCATGACAACTTACAACTTCTGTAAGAAGGGCCTTCGCAACAGTCGTCGCGCGCTGGTCCGGCAACGGAACTACCTCTGGCCATTTCGTAAAATAATCCACCACGCCAGCGCATACTGGTTACCAGCCGCAGACTTCGGAAACGGTCCCACAATGTCGAGCGCTACCCTTTCAAACGGTGCCCCGACATTATAAATCTTGAGAGGTCCATGTCCCCTCTCCCTCGGACCTTTCCTTGCGACACAAGTATTACATCGACGACACCAGTCTTCCACATCCTTGCGATTATCAGGCCAGTAAAATTTTCGACGTACCCTATCCAGAGTTTTGTTCACTCCGAAATGACCACCCGACGGTGCATCATGATAATCTGTTATCACCGAGCTTACCATTTCTCTTGGAACCACTTGTTACTTTTTCCATTAGGGGATTCCCACTTACAAAACAGTAGATCTTCGTACACTTCCAAGGAATCCCAGATTGATACGAGATATTTAATTCT